GGTTTGACAGAGGAGTAAAGGAAGCCATCTTTGTGAAGAAAAATCGTCCACCATTAAACAGAGGTGGAGGCCTTCGTGTCCAGTTGTTGTTGAAAGAAAATGGATGTATAGAGAAAATCTGGAAGGAAACATGTATGAGTTTTTCCAGAGAGACTTCCAGTATTGTACCATGACTCTAAACACTCTGCTGAAGGTTTAACAAGGACCAGGTGAAGGTCCTGGATTGGTCCAGTCCAAACCCAGACTTTAGTCCAACTGAGAATCTCTGCAGCGTCAACCTGAAGGAGCTGCAGCTGCTTGAAGCAAAGATTCTTATAGACAGATGAGCCAAGATCCTGAGACGGACCTGAAGAGACTTGTACCTATAATTACTGCAAAAAATGTCTCTGCAGTTTGAACTGAGTGAGCGAATATACACTTTTCAGGTTTAAATTCTCTTACAATGACTTATAATGTACCCATTTAGCTTTAGTTTTTTTACATTTACTCAGACAGAAAATCTAAATCATTACAAGTTTAAGGAAATAAAAAATGATTCTCAAAATTACCTTTCATGACCTACTGTAGAGCAGAAAAACTGTCAGTAAAACAACATAAGTATCGATGGTGTAAGGTGTTACCTTGACGAACTGAAGATCTGTGAGGGCTCGGACGCTGAAGTCCGGTACGTACTGGAAGGGGGTTCCTGGGATCTGAGTGTTGCTCCCGCCGATGGAGCTGCTCTCTGGAGCGCGCTCGGTGCAGCTCAGGGATGCCGAGCGGTTCAGGTTACCTCCATGTGATGGAGAACGGAACTCTGGGAATTTACAGAAGCAGGGATGAGCGAGATGGTACTTTTTACAATTAAAACACGAGTGCTGTCAGAAAATCACACCGAGAAAGAAACCAAAGGAGGTGAAAACCAAACAAATGAGGAAAAACAGGGGAAAGTGTTGATTAAAGACCATGAACCGTGTTTGTTCCACAGACTGCAACAAACGAGCCATGCCATGAGACAGAGCAACGTTTGAACATCTGGAACAGAGAGAACTAGCTTCTCATTGGCTGCATTGGTGGGGGTGATGGGGAGAATGCTTCAGTGATGATTAAAGGAGTTTAAAAAGTCAGGAGATTCAGGAGAACTTTCAGACCTAAAGGAATAGTTCACCATTTTAAGGAAATACGCTGATATGCCACTTTAGATTATCATAGTTAGCTTAGCACAATGACTGTAAACAGGTGGAAAAAGTTAGCCTGTCTCCGCTGAATGTAAGTAAACCCACGCGTCGGCCTGATGTGTTCAGCGTTCTACATCTATGTTTAGTCTAATACTGTAGCAGAAAACCTTTCTCTGCAGACTCTTTAAATGGACAACACAATTGTATTCTTCTGTTTCTTACAGTTACAACTATTATAAAGGAGGTAGTAGACGTTTACATACAGTGACTTCAGAAAGTATTCAGACTCCTCGGCTTAATGTATGATAAAGATAATTTCATGCAGTTTAGTAAATTTATCAAAAAGAAAACACATTTCCAGAAGTGTTCACATCTTGAAGTGAAGGGTCTTTGGCAGCTGTTCCAACTCTGATCCACATCTGGATATGAGGGTTTTCTCTAGTTCTTTATAGTTCTTCATGACCTCTGTCAGGATGATCTGTGGAGCAGTTTTCTGCCCACTTCATTCAACTTCTGTAGGAGTTAAGTCTTTAGGACATATACTGTATACTGTGTAGTATAAATAAACTGTGTAGTATAAATAAACTGGTTGGCTGGTTGGTAGGTTAATAAACTGGTTGGTTGGTTGGTAGGTTAATAAACTGGTTGGTTGGTTGGTTGCTTAATAAACTGGTTGGTTGGTTTGTTGGTTATTAAACTGGTTGGTTGGTTGGTTGGTTGGTTGGTTAATAAACTGGTTGGTTGGTTGGTTGGTAGGTTAAGAAACTGGTTGGTTGGTTGATAAAATGGTTGGTTGGTTGGTTGGTTGGTTGGTTGGTTGGTTGGTAGGTTGGATGGTTAATAAACTGGTTGGTTAATAAACTGGTTGGTTGGTTGGTTAGTAAATTGGTTGGTTGGTAGGTTAATAAACTGGTTGGTTGGTTGGTAGGTTAATAAACTGGTTGGTTGGTTAATAAACTGGTTGGTTGGTAGGTTAATAAACTGGTTGGTTGGTTGGTTGGTTAATAAACTGGTTGGTTGGTTGGTTAATAAACTTGTTGGTTGGTTGGTTTCATTCATTCATTCATTCATTCATTCATTCATTCATTCATTCATTCATTCATTCATTCATTCATTCATTCATTCATTCATCCATCCATTCTCTTTCTTCCTTTCTTCTTTCCTTCCAAACTGTAGATTTTGCCACTCAGCAATGTTTTTTTATGGCTTGTTTCACCTGCATGGAGAGCTCCATGACCTCATGTTCTCTTCACAGCAAAATTGTCCAAATACAGTACAAGCACCACACCTCAAATCAACTCCAGACCTTGCTCATCTGACATAATGAAGGAATTGCCCCACACCATGAAATTGCCTTTGAGTCAATTGTCCAATTATTTTGGTCTTTTTAAAAACAGGGTGGCACATGTTAAGGAGTTGAAACTCCTAAACCCTTAATCCAGTTTTAATGTGGATACTTTCAAATGAAAGTGGAACATCTGGACTTTATGTCCATGTACATTATATAACTATAACTTGTTATAATGTACAGAACCAAAAATAACAAAATGTCATTTCTGTCCAAATACATGGACCTAACTCTGTGTGTGTGTGTGTGTGTGTGTGTGTGTGTGTGTGTGTGTGTGTGTGTGTGTGTGTGTGNGTGTGTGTGTGTGTGTGTGTGTGTGTGTGTGTGTGTAAAACTCGAATCATCATGCAGCAACATAAAAAACTGCAGAAAGTGAAAAAGGTCTGAAAACTTTCTGAAGCCAGCATTTTACAACATTTACATTAAAGTGACACTCAGCGGAGGAAAACAGACATGAAGCACCAAATGAAATCATTCTGAGTGTTGCATGACGAAGGCTTGTTAACAGCTCAGTGGTTACCATCACAGCAAGGAGGTGCTGGGTTCAACCCAGTTCAGACCTTGTGTCTTTCTGCATGAAGTTTACATGCTCTCCTCGTGACTGTGTGGGTTTTCTTCAGGTTTCTTCCCACAGACAATAAACATGATGTTAGGCTACCTTAAGTCCTCCTTTAGAGAAGAGATACAGGATCTCAACATGAGCTGTCTGGTTAAATAAAGATGAATCACTTTTCATTTTTAATGTGAAAACCGAAGTTTTGTAATCATCAGTATTTCAGCTCTTTAACTCTTCAATCTTTCTGTTTGCAGATATGAGATCTGTTCCTCCTCGTTTTTGTAAGAGGCTTTAATCAGGCTTTTAAATCCTTCTTTTTCATATTTAAATCATTCATTTGGGGTCTATATAAATGGAACTGCAATGCTTTGGTCTGAATTCCTTATTGTAACTCCACAAACCCCTTTCACCCCTTTTCTGAGGCACTTCAAACCCCGCCCCCTTCCAGCTTCCAGTTCATTCAAGTTTGATAGAGTGGTTTACAACAATATAGCAGCACAGAAATGTTTTATTCACAACTTAATTAAAATATGTCAACAAGAGAAGACTTGTCCATCCAGCCTCACATGTTGGAGCCAAAGTCTGACCCAGAGACAGAGGAGAATGAAGACGACCAAAATGTCGTTGTCGTTCATGGTCAGTTTTGTTGCAAATAATTTGACGTAACAGCTTAGAAAACATAACAGAAAATAAAGAAAACAATGGGTTAAGAACTATGACCCAAACAGAATATAAAGATCCCTATGCAGCACCAAGGAAGACTAGATTCAACTGTTCTGCAACTCCTAGAGACTCCACGTCCACAACAAAATGCAGTTAATGGCTAAAAACGTGGATTTTGCCTGATAAGTCCCCTTTGAAACGCACAGCATGCTCCTTCTGGGTTCTGCAAGTTTGCCTGCTCTCCTCTGCACAGATCACATGCACTGACATGCATGAGCAGCTGGACCAGCAGCCACAGCAGCACAGCCACTCCGCCTCCTCATTCAAATACTATTATTGTAGCTGTTGGTCTTTAAAGAAACAACCTTATTTGATTCTCAGAGAAAACGAGAGCAAATAAGCATATTTGTTAAAGCGTGGAACTATTCAGTTAACCAGAGGTCAGAGGTCAGATCAAGGTGCTCCTTGTCTGCCTGTGAGTCAGTGGTTAAACGGTTTGTCAGGGTTCACAGCATCCACAGTCCCATCCAGGAAGTTGTCTTTCACACTCATCTGAGCAGGAATCTGGTTTCTCTTCATTCAAGGTGAAATCTGCAATTTAATGACAATTTTTTGACACAAGGAATCCAAAGTTAATGTTATCTAATGTTTACAGCTGCAACTGACTGAAAGCTGGAAAGACCAACACCTCCGCTCAAAAGTCAGAAAATAAATCTACATATAAAAAAGTTATTAATTCATTTTTTTTTTTACACATTTCTTAATTTTTTATAGTTGTGTTTCGGCCAGTTTGACCATTAAAATAATCTTACTCTGTGTGAAAGTTACACTTACTGGATCAGGACCACAAAAGTGATTAAAAAAAAGTGAGTAATTAATTAAAAGTGATTTTTTTTAAGGACCCCCCTACCCCTCCTTTGAACCATGCGATGTTTACCTGGGAAACGAGAGAATAAGGAAAACCTCTTAAGAGAGAGGCGGCGTGGAGGGGGGGACGCCACTGATGGGGAGGGGGGAGGGGTAACAGCTGAGAGAGAGGAGGGAGAGAGAGAGAGAACAGAGCTGCTTTAATCACTTAGTCCGCATTTAATTTACTTTTAAAACATGGAGCTGATTCTTCTTTAAAAGAGAAGTAATGAAAGCTATGTTAATGATCGATTCATTGAATTATTTCAGTTCTTGTTTCCTGAAACAGAACTGGTGAGGGTCACACACGACCTCCTGATGGCAGCAGACGCTGGGTCTTCATCACTCGTCTTCCTGCTTCTGCTGCAGTCACTGTTGATCAGAGAGGGTGAACACTTTTAAAGAACTTGGTGCACACAGAACGTTCAGAGGTGGACCTTAGTGAGGAGCAGTCAGCTTTTATCAGCAGGTAAAGAACAGAACCAGCAGGAGGCGCCTTTCTGTTACAGTTTGTCTCAGTTGAGTTAATAATCAGAAAACATAAAGACTAACATTTGTTACTTTGTAACACTTTATAATAACAACACCTTATTTAGCCTTACTTAATCATTAAGAAACGGTTAGTTAACTTTGAAAACATAACGAGCCACGTTTTGCTTGTTTTTTTTAACCTGTCTACTTGGAGAAAGTTTGACATAAATTGATAAAATAAGAGTACTTGTGGTCTTACAAAGTGTGCAAATCTTCATGTGTGCTTAAATCTAATCTAAATATCTTTTGTACTTTGTATTTCATGTTTAATCTTATTATATTTCAAAGCTATAGTACGCACCATGAGTGAAGACTATTTACAACAGGGGTGGGCAATCCTGGTCCTCGAGGGCGCAGCCCTGCATGTTTTATTTTTTCTCTGCTCAAACACACCTGATTTGAATGGATGGGTGATTATCAGGCTTCTGCAGTACGG